TTCAACATATTTTAATAACATGACAGTGAATCAGCTCTGTTTGTGTGCAGTGGAAGAGATGACTTGTCAAGAGAATGAGAGAGAAAATAGCAAGCTCACTTCACTCTTCAATGGTGTTCCTTCAAAAATCAATCTCATTAAAAAAAAACTCAGGTTGAGATCCAGTCAGAGAGGAAAATTCAGAAAGCACATTGAAAACTTGCTCTGCTTTATTACAGGTGTAAAAGACATGACTCTGGAAAGGAAGCAGAGTGAATTCAGGCATTTTTGCTGTAGCAGAGCTGGTTAATAACATTAGTGAGCATTTGTGCTCTCCAGACAGGGCTGTCAGGAGTTTCCTGCCCAGCAGTGGATGCTCACTGCTCTGTTACCTGAGAGCTGGGCAGGTACCACAGCACCTGGGTAACCTCAGCCAGCCCAGCTGAGTGGGGAAACCAGCCAGGGGAAGCTGCAGCAAGTTTGAAACCCTAGGAGGCAACAAAAAATGCTCCAGTTTCACTTGTAGCTACAGCTGCACTAGAGGGCACTTGGAAACCGTGAGGGAAGACCCTGACCAAAACTGTGAGAGCAAGTTAAGGGGAAAAAACATTACCCAACCAGTTTTATTTTCAGCTTCAGTGTAGGCTGACCAAGCACACAGAGAGCCAATGTGCACCAGAATAAAATTATCAACTCATTCAATTCCAACATCCATGTCATTAAACTCAGAGCTGGACTTGCTATCTTGCTAAAAAACAAATTAAGTTCCTAAATACTGCATGTTGACCATAAATCCACTGCACAAAGGCACCCAAATAATCCCATTTTACATCCCCACATATGGATTGGTTTAGGATTTATTCTAAGCACAGTAATGCTGTTTACTTGGTAGAATTTTGTCTATAGATACCTGTGGTGATATTTTAAAATTCCCAATCTAGCAGTACTTCAAAACTCAAGAATCCAAGGAGGGGAAGGAGTAATTGTAACAGGCAGGGACATGGGATTTTTAAGAACCTCATTATTCACTGGTTGGCTGCTGAGACACACAACCAAAAAAAAAGGCAGAGCTCTTAATTTCATGAGCAAAATGTTCCCCAAATAAATTATGAGTTATAGCAGGTAGTCTGCACCCCTTGGTCATTTTCTAGTATTTATCCTGAACACTTCCATTAAAATACAATTTCCACAAGACATATTTATGATCTCCAATGTAAATTTCCTTCTTCTTTATATCAGCAGTTAGTAACTCACTAGAACAAAAAATAAATATCTAACTGCCCTATACAAGTACTGAGAGCATCACCTGCAAACAAGTGCTGCACAAGGTCACAGCTGCATTATTTACTAATTCCATGTTCTGAGTACAGTTGTATCCAGCCTTTCCTCTGCACAAGCCTTTAATCTTCCATTTCCACTGCAGCTCCTTTTCCTACCTGCTTAGATTTCAATATATAAAATTAACAGGTCAGAAGAGTGTGAAATCACTGTTTTAACTCTGAATGCTTTCCATTCCCAAGACCCCAGAAAGCTCCCAGCAACAACAAAAACACCAAAGGGACCTCAGGACAAGCACAAGAGGGACACCAACGCTGAACTGCCAAGAGAAGACAGGCTTGCTCTTCCAGAGATCTGCAATGCAAATACTTCATTTATCTTCAGCTAGGCCTGGATAATACCACTGGCACCATTCTGTGCTCTAGCCACATTACTGGAAATCAATATAAGAATCCCAATGCCCTCAGCAGCATCCAGCAAGGTCAATCCCCAGAGTTCTCCAGCTCCAGACACACCCATGTATGCTGTGTACCAACCTCCATGAGTAAGCACTGGCTGGGATCACAGCTCTATCCCAGCTGGATAAGTCTCCTTGTCACTTATGGTTTGTCCTACAGGCTTTGGTACGACAGAGGTGCACAAACTACTGGAAAACAGGATCTGTTTTTAAAAGCACCACTTCCAATTTCAAACAGTCAACACAACTGGTCAAATCTGCAGCTCAGCCCCTAAATGACAAAGATACATTTCAACAGAAGTTGTTCCACCCTCCTGCCCTCCCATTCTGTGTTTTTACCTTCTCCAATCTCTCAAAGTACTCTCTGATGAATCCCATGGGTCTTTCAGGTCTCACTGTGCATAACTGCACAATGCAATCCTTCAGCAGCTGCTGGATGTTGTGTTTTTGGATGTACAGCTCACACTCCCGAAGGCTGCGCTCCTCCTCACTGCTGCTGCTGGAAGCTGCCATGGCTGAAGGCAACAGAAGGAGAAGGTTTAAAAATAAATAACTACTGAAAACAAAGATCCTGCTGCCTAAAACAAAGTTATGCTGTATTACCTTACTGATACCACAGCAAAAAAACACCTTTACCTACCAGAGCAGTAACTAAGCTAAAGAAAATGCTGGGAACTTATTTAGCACCTGGAAAGAAATCAGAAATCAAAACTCTGAGGGCTCTATGGTCACAGACAGAAAAGGAAAAGCCAAGTCAGGGAAGATCCCACCTGAACTTCTGCTGCTTGAACTGAGGATTTTGTAGGAGTGGAGGCTCCTGTCAGGAGCTGCGTGGTCTGTGTGGGGTCATGGGGATGGACGAGGGCCAGCACAGAGGTGGGTGGGAGCTGGAAATGTGAGAGGCCAAGCACGAGCAGCATTCGGAAGTGGAACATGCTCAGGGTTGGAGGCAAAGCCAAATGTCAGGGCAGAGTTTGCTATCGGAAGTTATGGATTACAGGCATCGCTCCTGAAAAGCTCCTGTGTAATTGAAACCTGCTCATAGCTCATCACTTATTTCATGGATACACTGCAATCCAAAAATACCTCTGCAACTGGAAATGATGAAGAGTACAGCTTTAAACATCTGTTACGATGCCAGGTTTTCTAAAGACTTCAGCTATGACACTTCCAAAAATGTTCTTAAGCAGATTTTTCTCCCCTTTCAAGTTTGTGCTGGGTTTCCACTTCCAGATTTGGGTAGCACGGGGTACAGGGGGTTCTGTGAGAAGCTGCTGGCTGATTCCTCCATGTCCAACAGAGCCAATGCCAGTCAGCTGCAGCATGAAACTGCCCCTGGCCGAGGCTGGGTGACAGTGACAGAACCTTTGGGACAGTGTATCTGAGGAGGGAGGAGAAATGGCTACTGCAGCCAGATAGAGGAGTGGGAATAAACGGGAAAAACAGCCCTGCAGCCCCCAGGGGCAGGGCAGGAGGGGCTCCAGGCCCTGGAGCATGGATTCCTGGCAGACTGTGATACAGCCCATGGAGACCAGGGAGCAGAGAGCCACCCACAGCCACCCCATGGAGGTCCATGGGGAGCAGAGAGCCACCCAGAGAACCTGGAGGAGCAGAGATCCAGCCACAGCCCCAGGAGATCCATAGGGGAGCAGAGAGCCACCCACAGCCCCTGGAGATCGATCCATGGGGGAGCAGAGATCCTCCTGCAGCCCCTGGAGGCCCATGGGGGAGCAGAGATCCTCCTGCAGCCCCTGGAGGAGCAGAGATCCTCCTGCAGCCCCTGGAGATCCACGGGGGAGCAGAGATCCTCCTGCAGCCCCTGGAGATTCACAGGGGAGCAGAGAACCTCCTGCAGCCCCTGGAGATCCACAGGGGAGCAGAGAGCCTCCTGCAGCCCCTGGAGATCCACGGGGGAGCAGAGATCCAGCCACGGAACCTGTGCAGGACCCCACACTGGAGCAGGGGAATGCACAGAGTGTGACCCCACAGGAATCCTGTGCTGGGGTGGTTTTCTGGCAGGAGCTGTGACCATGGAAGGGAAAGCAGGCTGGAGAGCAGCCTGCAGGAAAGATTGATTGGAGAAGTCCATGGAGGACTGTCTCCCATGGGGAAGGTGTGAGCAGTCTTTCCACGAGCAGGATGGAGCAGCAGAGACAACATGTACGGAACTGACTGCAATCCCCATCCCTGAGGGGAGGGGAGGCAGAGAACATCAAAAGTTAAGGCTGGAAAGAAGGGAGAGGGCCAGGAAGATGTTTGTAAGATTTGGCTTTATTTCTCATTATCCTACTCAAATTTAATTAGTTGAATTTATTACCAATCTCCCCGAGTGGAGTCTGTTTTGCTCATGAGGGCACATGGTGAGTGATCTCTCCCTTATCTCAGTCCAGGAACCTTTCCTTATATTTCCCTTCTGTTGCTGAGTTGAAGAGGGCAGTGATGGAGCAGTTTTGGTGGGTGCTTAGCATCTAGCCTGGCTCAGCCCACCACAAGGTTATAAAACCATTTTAAAATACATTTTTTACATGTACAGGTATATGGACACACATTTCATGTCATTTTTTTCATAAGAAAATTAACACCGTGAGAGTTAAAAGAAACAGGAAATAATTTCTCAGGGCATTTTTGGATGAAATATAAAGAAAGTTACCTGGTACAGGGAGTGTGGCAACAGCTTATTTATATGCAGTAAGATATGTTGATCCCGGGATCAGCTTTTGAAAGGGAAAAAACTGATTCAGTCAAAATAATTTTGAGAAATGACAAGTCACTGAAGTCACCTCACAGGCTTTATCCTGCTGAGGCAGCAGCAGGAAAAGCCAGGGCACAGAGGCAACACGACAACGTGCCCCTCCGAATTCTGCTGCTGGGGATTACAGAAGGCTTGGAGTTCATAAGGAATTACCAACACCTCAGCCAGGTGCCGTGCCCGTCACCCTTAATCCCCGCTCAAGGACACGCACACACACACGTGCACTGCGCGTTGCATAAACACAAAGCGCGGCCTCCCCGCGGGCTGCGAAGGCGCCCACAAGTTCTGCAGTCACTCCTTTTGTTCTGGCAGCCCTCACGGTGAAGGTCAGCGCTCCCTGAGCGGCCCCGGGGCCACGCCAGAAGGGCAGCACCGGGGCAGGAAACGCGCTATCACGGGCGAAATGAAAACTCCGGGATTTATTTCTACGAGCCTTTTTTTCCCTGCACATTCCCAAAGCTTCCCCAAGGCGTGGCTGCCCCGCCCAGCCCGGCCCCTCACGCAGCGGCCGCTTGGCGGCTCCGCCGGGACCCCCGCCCGTCCCGGCCCGGCCGCGGCCTCGCTGCAGCGGCGGCACCGGAAACCGACCGGCCGGACGGGCCCCGCCCGCCGTGACGTCAATGCGCCTCGCTCTCGCCCGGGCCCGTCGCCGCGGTAACCTTAAAGGGGCAATGGTGGGCGCGGCGCGGGCACGGGCTGGGGAGCGGCGCGGGAGGAGCCTGCGGCTTTAAGGCGCGCGGGGCTGGCGGGAACGGGTGGGGGGAGGAGGTGTCTGCTGAGGGGCGCGGGATCCCCTGAGGGGAGCGGGAAACCCTGAGGGGAGACCCTGCACATTCCCAAAGCTTCCCCAAGGCGTGGCTGCCCCGCCCAGCCCGGCCCCTCACGCAGCGGCCGCTTCACACCCGGGGCCACCGGGGAGGCACCGAGCCGGCACCCCCGGGAGGGGACACGGAGCCGAACCGGCCCAAAGGCCCGCGGGGCCCCCTCGGCGCTGGCCCCAGAAGGCGCCGCTGTCCCCGCAGCAGCCCCGGAGCCGCGGCCCCGGCTCCGCTCCCTGGCGAGAGGAGGGGGAAACCTTGAGGGGAGAGGGAAACCCTGAGGGGAGAGGGAATGGCTGAGAGATGGAAACCCTGAGGGGAGCGGGAATGGCGAGAGGAGAGGGATCACCTGAAGGGAACGGGCATGGCGAGGGTGGGTATCCCTGGGGGGAGCGGGAATGGCCGAGAGGGGATGGAAAACCCTGAAGAGAGAGGGAAGAACGAGGGGAGTGGGAAACCCTGAGGGGAACGGGAATGGCCAGAGGAGAGGGATCACCTGAGGGGAACGGGAATCCCTGACGGGAAAGAGAATGGTCGGGAGGAGCGGGAATGGCCGAGAGATGGAAACCCTGAGGGGACAGGGAATGGTGAGAGGAGAGGGATCCTCTGAGAGGAGCAGGATGTCCTGAGGGGAGCGGGACTGGCGAGACGACTGGGAAATCCTGAGGGGAGAGGGAATGGCGAGAGGAGTGGGAAATCCTGAGGAGAGAGGGAATGGTCGGGAGGAGAGGGAAACCCTGAGGGGAGAGGGAATGGCAAGAGGAGGGGGAAACCCTGGGGGAGAGGGATCCCCTAAGGGGAGCGGGAATGGCGAGAGGAGTGGGAAATCCTGAGGAGAGAGGGAATGGTCGGGAGGAGAGGGAAACCCTGAGGGGAGAGGGAATGGTCAGGAGGAGTGGGAAATTCTGAGGAGAGAGGGAATAACGAGTGGAGTGGGAAACCCTGAGGGGAGGGTTTAGGGTTGGGGTCAGCGTTTAGGAGTGGGAAACCCTGAGGAGAGGGGGATTCCCTGAGGGAAGCGGGAATGGCGAGAGGAGTGGGAAACCCTGAGGGGAGCGGGAATGGCGAGAGGAGCGGGAAATCCTGAGGGGATTTCCCCTGAGGGAAGCGGGAATGGCGAGAGGAGTGGGAAACCCTGAGGGGAGCGGGATCTGCGGGGCATCAACTCCACAGTGGATGCTGGCAATCCCCGGCCTGGAAAGACGGTTAAAAGATCAGAGATTGTTATAGGTGGAGGGAAATAAACGATGTTCAAGTTTGGCAAAGATTTCACTATAATCTATGTAAATCCGCATGGGAGTTGCTTCATGTGTCTTTATGCTGAGATGAGCCCTTTGACTCCATTCACTTTGTCTACTCCAAGCTGTAAGAAATCATTTACATGATTTTTATGTAGAGGCTGTGCTGGCACAGGCAGAGCCCATCTCTGGGCTTGGGGAGGAGAAATGAGCCCTAAAAATGAGCCCTGACCTCTGTGTTTGCTGATCTTGCAACACAGAGCATAACTCAGCTTTTTACTCTAATGTTACATCATTTCAGCCAGCTTGTGCTTAACCTTATATGGGAGAATCACATAATGCACAGTGAAGATATAAGATAGTGGTGTTTGTGCAGTGACACACAAGCCCTCAGGAACTACCTGCTGAGGGGTTTCTTGTTTATTAGCTCTTATATTAGAGAAATAAAGGGTAATATCTTGGGTGTAGATCTTGGACCTGCAATTCCGACAGACCCAGTCCAGCCCCTGAGCTCACATTCCCCAAATCTTTGATAATTTCTGTCTGATCTGGATTAATTAGAAGCCAGGGTCCAGGATGTCCTGATATTAAGCTCAAAGCTGGGACCTTTACAAAACCTATAAATACGAGCAATTAATATTTGTGAAACACTCTCAGCATTGAAATACCAAATTACTTGCTCACCTGGTTATAGAACAGTTCCTTCTGTAACTCAAAACTACTGGAACACCACAAAAAATCATCTGCATTCCCACCTACACATTTCTTTCTCGGCTTTTTCCCTCCCCTTTTTTCTTTACCAGCTGCCTGCTAGTGTCACATCTCACTGCTCCTTGTTTGGACAAGTCCTGGTGCTGTTTTGGGATAGATCCCATCTGGAACACCGTGTGTAAAACCTGTTCTGCAACGTCCTCTTTCTTAGGGAAACAAGTATTCCTTTGTGCTTGATGCAATCCCTGCTGGAGTCCTGGAGCCAGGAGAGGAACAGAACCAGCTTCCAGGAGGAGAACTGTGAAGCCACTGGACACAGCTTCCCCCAGTGAGTCAGCACGGGTTATCTCTCACAGTTAAATCACACTCCCATGAGCTGATGCTCCCACGTCCCCACGTGTTAATTCTCACACCACCGAAGACGTAAGGGAAATGAAAAGCAAACAAAGCCCTGTCCCGTTTGGTCTGGTCTGAATTAAAGTCAGATCCTGGTCTTAACCATCTAATTAAACATTTCTGAGTAAATAACTGGCATTACCGTCAGCGCTATTCCCACAACTTTGATTTCAAACAACTTCATGCATCAGTTTCTCATGGAGCAATCTGCTGCCCAGGGCTGTGGCTGCTGGAGAGCAGAGGAGAGCTCAGGGGGAAAGAGTGTGTGAGCCAAGGTGGGAAACAAGAGCACAGACGTCAGCCACCCCTGCTGTGTGCAGAAAGAGCTGCTTGAAAGGTCAGTGACAGCCAAATTAGCAGTGCCTGTGGGGTGCTGCACAGGAGCTGCAGTGCCAGGGGCTTCTGAAGGCACCACCCAACTCAGGACCATGTTCTGTGAGCAGAGAGTCCTGGAGCAGCCTCTGGGACTGAAACCAAATGAATCAAACAAGTGGCAGATTGAAGCAGCCCGTGGTTTTGTCACACACACAGATTTAGGTGTTAAATCAGGCATGCCCATCACCCATGAGGTACAAATGGGGTTTCAAAGGGGCAGAGCACAACCTGGAACACTCCTAATCAGTGACTGCAGCATGTGTGCTGTCCTGGGGTGGAGTGGATGGGGAAAGAGGAAGTTTTGGTGGCACAGAAAGGTTTCATCCACAAACAGAAGCTGCCATTATCCCAAACAGCCCTGAAATCTACATCAGAAAATCAGGAATTAAAACCTGTGAGCTCTCTGTGGACCATGAGGTGCCAGAGGTAGAGTTCACACTGTATCCTTTGGGCATGGCTCCTTGTCTCTTGTTTAAGCTTTAACTAGCACTGAAAATAACCCTCTCTTGGTGCTGCACACCTTGGCTCACAGCACCACACAGTGATTCATTGGAAGATCCATGGATTAAAAACCCAAACACACAAAAATACATTCTCTTTTAACAATAGATTATTTGAGGATGTCTGGGTTCCAGGTCAAACTCTGGATGTTGACAGCTTTCAGTGTGACACTTCAGTGTCCCCTCATGCAGGGACAGAAGGACACTTGTCCCTCAGCAATGCAGTGTTTGTCAGGGAGTCTGAGCCTCTGGATGAGTTTTACAGTGTAAAATCTGTGATTTTGCCACATGAAAGTGACAAAGAAACAGAGCAAGGAATTGATATGATCCAAAAAGAGTCTGAAAGGCAGTGCTTGAACTTCCTGCTGTAAGCCCAGCATGAGTCATGGGCTCAGAAGCCCTGTGGACCCCGAGAGGTGCTGTGTGCAGGCTTCGCTCTGGCTGACGTCAGCTGTGTGAAACAGTCCCCAGTGCAGAACCAGTTTGCTATGGGCAGATCCCAAACCATTTCCATATGTTACTTTGAAGAAGAAAATGACTGCTAAGACTCAAAACAGAGCAAGCAAGTGCCAAGAAAAAAATGCCCTGAAGTGGTCAGATCTAACAGATAGACCAGTGGGGGAATCCATCTCCATCTGCCAGACGTGCCTGCTCAGCACAGCCCGTCAGACTCCCAGCGTGGCTCCCAGCTGGAAGGCTCCCAACACCCAAGGGGCAACACTGGGAACGTTTTACCTCCTGAGTCAGTGCTGACGAGCTCAGCGTGAGGGAGGCTGTGATTACCAGAGCTCTGTCACACAGCTCTCCTGTGTTGGCTGAACCACAGGCTCCACATTTTGAAAAAAACAGGATACCCTGGTTAAATTCTGACATTGATGATGGTGCTCTTCCTGCCACCCAGCCAGGCTGAACTCAGCATTCTCTTTTCTAGCCTAGGGAGTTCTGTCCTAGATCAGTGATTAACCTCCACCTCAACAGCAGGGCAAGAAGTCTCTAAGCAGCCTGCTGACAATATTTATTGGGAACTCTTTGCTCAGGTGTCTCTGCACTTCAAGGACTCTCCTTCTCCTCAGCTCCAATGAGAACAGCCATTAATGCAGTAGAAAACAGTTCTAGGTCTGCCCCACAAGACCTGGGAGACAGAAAAGAGTACCTGAAGTGGGACAAAAAAAGCCCCTGCAAGGCTCACACCTCCAGAGAGAGGGAGGGAGATGGGAGAGCAGCAGGTCTGTGCCTCCTGCAGTTTGGATGTCAGCAGGCTTTGTTCTGCATCATTAACTTTGTACAACCTGTGGGCAGCCTCAGCAGTTCATGAACTGCCCAAGCATCTGCAAATGTGATTCTTGACTTTGAGATCTCTCTGACACAAACCAAATTAAAGAGCACTGAGACAGTGTGCAGCTACTGCCCACTTCTTTCCGGGAATGCCTGTGAAATACTCCCAGTGTTTCTTTTGTAACAGAATGTAAATACCCCCATTGAAAAGAATCCTCAGTTCTTGTGCTTTTAACACAGTCTGGGGAGAGCTCCCTCTCAGAATATCATCTGGGACACAGTTCTCCTGCAAGATAAATGCACACATAAAAGCATTCAAAACATTTGAATTTGCTTATGTGCTTTGCTCTGAAAGCAGGTGGCAAAGTAAACACATTGGTCAGATCCACTCTCCTTGGTCTGGACTGACATCCAAACAATGTCTGGACCGACATCTAACAAACTGGCTACAGAATCGAGCCATTTCTGAGGCAAGTTGCTGCCTCCCTCCCCCCAAGATAATAGAGCATTTTCCCAGATGGAAGGAACCCACTTGAAAAACAAAAGGTCTTTGAAATGTCAGCTCGGGCTTGCTTGGCCCGTGCTGTGTGCCCACAGGAAAACGATAGAGCCTTTTTTCATTCTCCAGCTGCAACACTTACATCTGAAGCAGCAAGATGATTAAGAATTGCAGCTCTAGATTCCTGCTCCCCTACTGATTTCCAGCCTCTCCTGTGGAAGTCATTTAGCCTCACTCTATCCCCAGCACAACGAGGATAAAAACACTTTCTGGGCTGAGCATGGATCCAAGCTCATGAGAGGTTTGCATGCTCCAATAATGGGGATCAGTAATTGAGCTGCTTGAACAAGCTTCAAGCCAGGCACAGGAGAACTGATCCAGTGTGGTTGGCAAAGAAGTCAAGACATGGCATCCACATGGATGGAGGCTCCTTGGCTCTGTGGGCACCACAGTGCTGTGGGCAGTGTAGGTGCTGCCCTGCATTCTCTGTATGAATCTATTAATGCATTAATTACACCAACGTTTTGTGCCACTTCTCCTCCAAACCCCTCCTTGTCTCCTCTAGCATGGAAGAGGAGAAAGTCCCCCAGGTGATAAATCTTCCGTGCTCAGAGCTCGGGCAGTGAGCCTGCCTCTCCCAAAGCTCTCCCTCCCAGCTGCTCCCTGCTCTGCTCACACCAGGCTGTGTGGGAACCCAAAGTTCCTGTGGCTGTCAGGACCTCCGTGTGTTCCCAGTCTCCCTCTCACAATGCAACTTGTTCTGATCTCTCACGTCAGAACATTTTTTGATCTTTAGATAATTACAGAGGAATTACAATTTGTGCTGTATTCAAGAGTTAAAAGGAAGGCAAGAGTTCCTCTCTCCCAGTTTTAACCCCTTTGCTCTCTGTGGTACAGGTCTCTTGATTCTCAGCTGAGAACACTCCAAGACTCAAGAGTCCAGTGTGCACCCCAGAGAGCCAGGAAGATGAGGCACCCTTGGCCTGTGTCACTCCTGTGAGCAGTGTCAGGCCCCCAGGGAGATAATCCATGGCCAGGGCAAGTGTGAGGTCCTAATGCTACTTAGGGAAATGCATTTCCAGAGTGAGGAGGACAAGATAAGGAGCATTAATCCAATTTACAAGGAAATGCAACATCCACTTGTGAGCTCTCCCCTGACCTCATCAAGCACGTCTGCAAGGGCTGCTCCCAAGCACAGCTCCCTCTGTGGCAGGATCAGGGACAGGGTCAGCAGCTAAAACAGAGAAGGAACAAAGCTCACAAAGCCTTGGTGACATCCAGACTGGCTGTGGAGTCTGCCAGGACTGCTCCTGTTCTTCCCTCACCCTGGCTGATGCCAGTGCCAGCACACCGCTCTCAGGGTCCCCAAGAATCTTTCCTTAAACAGTGGGCAATGAATTCCCTGTGCAGATGGCACACACGTCTCCCCTGTGTGCCCCTTGCCCTACCCACTCCACATTAGAACCTGTCCAGACAATTTAGCAAGACAAGTTAGTCTGCTGGTGACTCTCACAAACATGTTGTCCATTGGTTTTTACTTTCCCACATATTTTGTGTTTAATACAGGTCATGATATTTTTGAAAATGGCTTTGAAGTGATGACTCTGTGATACCTGCATCTTGTGATCAGGGTTCTTCCAAACTCAGAATGGCCTCTGACAACCAATCCAGCTCTCTGCTTTCTTCTCACTTTGCCATTGCATAAGAGGAAAAATCTCCTTATCTGCGCTGACAGAAACAATGAGTAAACTCATCAAAGATGAGGAGAGCACAGGTATAAACTCCACTTTCCTCTCTCTAGCATTGCATTGCAATGCTCAGCCCTCTCTGATATCAGTGCTTCTTCCTGCAGTGGAGGGGCAGGGAACCCACTGGATAATCCAAGGAGCAGGACTGAACAAACCCGGTGTAACTTTGGATAATCCAAGGAGCAGGATTGAACAAACCCAGTGTAACCACTGGATACTCCAAGGAGCAGGACTGAACAAACCCAGTGTAACTTTGGATAATCCAAGGAGCAGGACTGGACAAGCCCGGTGTAACCCACTGGATAATCCAAGGAGCAGGACTGAACAAACCCAGTGTAACCATTGGATAATCCAAGGAGCAGGACTGAACAAACCCGGTGTAACTTTGGATAATCCAAGGAGCAGGATTGAACAAACCCAGTGTAACCACTGGATACTCCAAGGAGCAGGACTGAACAAACCCAGTGTAACTTTGTATAATCCAAGGAGCAGGACTGGACAAGCCCGGTGTAACCCACTGGATAATCCAAGGAGCAGGACTGAACAAACCCAGTGTAACCATTGCCGTGTGCGATGTGATGCTGGCTGGGCTGTGTGCAGCCTGCTCGGGGCACCAGATGGCAGCATTTATTGTCTGTCTGAGATCCCAAACCAGCCACTACTGGCACTTCAGTGCTCGACACTTCGTGTATTCAAGCTCCTAAAGGTCGGGATGCAGCCCCTTCCTCCTCCACCTGCTCGATACACTCGGGAAGGATAAAAAAGAGCAAAGCAATGTCTGTGCCCCACCCCTTCCTGCTCCTTCCCAAGGAAAAAGTGGTTTCTTTGCTTTTAGAAAAACTTGTTCTCCTTATTACATATTCACCTTTTGCCTGTTTATCCCCTACAAAGCTGTAGTCCCTGAACAGGCTCCTGGTTATCAGGAATTCCAGTGAAGGATATAAAGATATTGAACAGATTTAGCTCTGCCAAGACCTTTTTATTTTCCTGTAGCAGATTTAAAATACCACACCTATCAGTGAGAGCAGGCTTTATCTGAGAGGGAAGAACTTAGCTGGAATTTAAACTTTGAGCTCTCAAAACCCTTCCCATGTGGAATGGCAGCACACAGGATGCCATGGCTGGGAGAGGCCCTTGTGGGCACAGCACTGGTTTCCCAGCTTCTTCACCTCTGTTTCCTCTTTAAGGCTTCAGTACAAACACCCAGGGTGGAGATCACAAACCAACATCCCTCACACCATGGTTTCTGCACTGGAAAATGTTTAAGATCAAATGGTCACACTCTGGACTGGGTTTGGAGTTGATGACTGAGTTGAGGTTGTTACTGTCAATAGTTACTGCAGTCACAGGGTTGTCAGGAAAGGGAGGCCAATTCCTGATATATTCTTCCCAGCAAACACATGCATCAGCACAAGGACTGTCCTGGTGGCTGGCAGGGCTCTCTGCTGGCCTTGCCAGACCGTTTTCCCCAGGTGTGACATACTCAGATCCCAAGAAATCTCTTGGGATTTAACTACTACCCTAATTACCACCTCCCTCCAAAGCTGTATTCCTGAAAAATCACTTCAGCTATTTCTTATGTTTGAGGCACCTGACACACCTCATCTCTACCAGAAATGATGCCTTGTGAAGGCTGGCCTAGAACAGAGCTACAGAATAAAGCAGGGATTGATTCAAGGATCTCCTCCATGGATCCACCTGGGGCAGCACAAGAGCCCAGCCAGGGCTGCACCCAAGATGAACCCAAATGGTCCCAAAATGCACGAGCGCTGCCGGGGTCTCTCCCTGGGATCAGCTCTGCTCCATGTGCACATTGCAGTTCAGTGTCCAGTTCCAGCTGCAGCCCATCCAGTCCCATCCTGCTTGTTTTTCTCTCTCCAGCCCACGGGGTTTGTGCTCTTGGGCTGAGATTTGGATCATTTGTCCTTGGTGCCCAGCTGGAGCAGGAATTGTTTTGTGTCCCTGCTCTGTGCAGAGAGCTCAGCATCCCCTGATGTGAGCCCAGACCCACACACTAATGCAGCACAGAACTGGGAAAATAGAAAAACTGAACCTGAGGCATCAGAAAGACTCAGAGTTTCCACCCAGAGCACCCCAGCTTCTATTTCACACCCAGCACCCAACTGCTCCAACGTTCCAGAGCACAGATCCTGAGATTTCCAAGGCTTCACCAACACACAGCAGCTCTTCCAGCCCGAGGAGCAGCCTGCCCTGACCTCACACCCTTCATGGTGACATGGCTGTCCCCAACCTCTCCAAAGGCCACCCACACTTTTCACGCTGCAGCAGAGGACAAGAACTCCCTGTTTCTCCCACCTCTGCTGATCCAACAGCCTTTGCAGGCAGTGAGCTCAAAGGAGGATTGACCAACATGCTTGCATCAGTCAAACTGCAAAAATAATTGTGTTACCCAAGTCTCGGGTGCTTTATCAAGGTTTCATTTTAAAACCATGGTGATTGCCCAAGCAGCAAACATGCAGCTGTTGCTGTTGCTCAGAAACTGTTTTTTTGAAACACAAGGCAATGTCTCCCTGGCTTTGTTTGTTGGAGGGCTTTGGTTTGTTTTTACATTTTTTCCTGCTCCACAACCCCACTTCCTGTCTGACATCCCTGTTTCAAAATCCAACTATCCTGATCCACAGGGACAGTTTCAGGACATTCAGAAACAGCTTTTCTAGTTCATGTTTGGGTTTTATTAGAACTTCCCACTAGGCCTTGGAAAAGAAGATGTTTTCCCCCCAGATATGATGTCTTGAAAATTATTGCCCTGCAGTGTCACTGATGTGCTTTGAGTCCTGGGGATGACCCACCATCCACCTCCCTCCAAAATGCTGTCTTGAAGATGTGTCTTTTCCTACTTCCTCCCCAAAATCAATCTATCTTCCCTGCTGCAGGCTTCCAGCTCCCTCACAGGGGAATATCACGGGCACGGCAAGGCGCCCCTGCAGCAAGGGGGATCAGCCCAGGCAGACAGATGTGTCCACACGGAATCTGCCTCACGGAGATGGTATTGCATGTGCCTCTTTTTCCAAAATCCTGCGGTGCACGTCAAGTGATCTGGGCCCAATGACTTCAGCCCTCACATGAGGATTACTCATCTAATTATGGGGTTTGCAGGCCCTGCCCCGGCAGAGGTTTCTGTAATGTCACTGCACTGACTCCTGGAATATTTGTCATTTAGCGACTGGCTCGGAAGTTTGTTTTCCTGTGTTTTCCCTGACAGATCTGACCCCCCACGCCAGCAGCGGTGTTTAGCACAGGAACGACGCACAAATGCCATTAGCTTTAGGATGTCAATGCTGTAAAAAGACAAAAACTCTTCAAAGCGCTGTTTAGCCAAGGAAGCGGAGAGGCGGACTGACTTGTTTTCCGGTCAGCGGTGCCACCATCACTTTTCCCCGCCCCATCCCCTCACCCACGCCTTCCCTGGGGCCGGCCCCGGCCCGTCCCGCACCCCGTGTCGCCGTGTGTCCCCGGCAGCAGCGCCGCAGCCGCGCTCCGCCAGATGCGCGCCCACATCTGCCCGCGCCCGTCTGATGCAACCACAACATCACCACGTGGCCACGCGCAGCTGTTCCGCGCCGCCAGCCAATGGCAGCCGGTTCCGCCACTCCGGGGGGCGGGCCCGCCCCGCCTGCTCCTCACCCCATAGGTCGTCCCGCGCGTCCATCAGCGGCCAGCCAGCCAATGGGCGGCGGCACCGCCCGTGCGGCGGCGGAGCGGGGCCGGGGCGGGCGCGGGCG